CGACGAGATCAAAGAATTGCTTAAGGTCGTGGGCAGCTTCGGGGCTGTCGCCTAGCAGCACATTATCGATGATGCTTGTAATGAGTTGTGAGGCCTGAACGCAATCCTGATCTCCGTAGATCCGCACCGCCTCGAGATATTCCCAGTAGTCGTCAATCACCAGGGGCACGCCCGAACCAGAAATAGCGCCCCAGAAATCATCGGGATAGATCTTGCGGGCCAAAGCGGCAAATGCACCAGCATAGGACCCTCCGTAGAAGATGTAAGGGGTGGTATGGGACGTCAGATTGACATGCTCGAGACCGGGGTATTTTACGTTTCGCACAAAGTAAGCGGTATCAGCGAGGGCTTGTTCGGTGGTGAGGAATCGTAGGTTGTGGGTGGAGAGATCGGGGACCGGGTAGCTCGTTCCGTAGTATCTATGCTCGAGAAGGACTGTCAAGCCGCCAGTGGCCTCGGAGAGAATCTTGCCAATGCCCTGCTCCAGGTATGGCAGGCGAGCGACGCCGGTGAGCTCGCCGGAGCCGATGAGGATGACAGGCCCGCCGGGCTTGTAGTAGGTATCGTCCACCCAGTAGCGGAGATTGAAGAAGTCGTCGGAGTGCGGCTCGTATTTGGTCTCGTTATGGAAGTGGTCGATGGGGACGGACAGGTTGTGTGCTGGTCGCTGGTTCTTCTCGAGGGCGTCGATCTCGGCTCGTCTCTCGTGGAGGCCTGGGGTGCGGGTGCGTGAGAAGGGATGTAGATTCGCGGGGTAGATGGCCAATGCCTGCTGCGAAGCCAAGGCAAGCGCCAGGCCAACGCCTTTGACCAAGCGAGAAATCGTCATTTCGCCGTTGGACTAGACGCGTGGCAGACAATCCACGAATGCATGCAAGGAGTGAGTTGGAGTGGGTGGAGGGAGGCAGCAGCAATGATGCAATCAGGGACCTGCTAAACTCAATAAATACAGGCGGCTGGGGCCGGGAGCCAAGCCCGAAGTGGGCCTGGGGTGGTTGAACCTTGATGGATGGACCAGGGTCAGACTGTTTCCGATGGCCTACCCTAAAGTGGGTGACATTGAAATCGAGACTCAAACATCAAGGTGCTTATTGTCGAGTCTACAACCGGTATTATCAATTTATTGAGTTTTAATAAGACATACTTGAGAGATAATAAGCAAATAGTATCACTTTCTTTCGTTTTGTACTACGAATTTCTGGATTTATCTTTGGGGGGTAGAGCCACTCCATGAGTTGTCTCACTTCTTTGCTCAGCTACGTGCCTAGATTGAGCTACCATAAACACTTCTTAACTGAACTATCTACAGCTGAGACATCGCCGACGGCTTTGAAACAAAAATGTTCAAGAGATCCAATTCTATTTCTGTGAGGTTAGTCGGCTGCCGTCATATCAGTCACTAATGCCTATAGTTTGTCACAATCGTCTCCTAGCCACCACCTCAAAAGATCATCGCTCCATCCTCTCGAGCGACATTTCCAACAGAGCTCGGCCTAAACAACTACTGGGGTACCGGTCGGCAGAGGAGTCCCAGTAGGGAAGTCACCGGTTGGAGGGCCTCCAGGACCTCCAGGACCTCCGGGACCACCACCGCCGGGATCGCCAGCATTGGGGTTGTCGATACCGCCGCCCTCATAGTAAATGGCAGCGGCGCTAACAGAACGAATAGAGGTGGTGTTGACTCCGAAGCTGATCCAGGCGAGCACACCATCGCTGAGCTGGTCACCAAGAAGAACGTACTGCAGGAAGGGGTCGCTGGTCTCAAGGATAGCCTCGAGATGGAAGTCTTCAGCGTTCTTCGTAACTGATTGAGTGTTGGTGTTGTAGGGCGCGAGAAGCTCGACGCTATCAATGAGGTCCTGGTCGAAGAAGACTTGTCCAACGTGGCTGGCGGTGATGTCCTCGACAGTGTGGTTTAGACGCTCAGTGGCGTTTGGATGAACCATGAGGTGGATATGCTGGGTTCGTCCAGAATAATGGCCGGGGAAAATGCCATCAAAGCGAATTGCCCCAATATCATCCGTTTTCTGGAATCCACGGAGGAATGTGGTCTTCAGGTTCTCTGGGGCGCTGGTATAGTCACCGCCGCTGGACACGCCTGAGTAGATTCCAGTGGAGTTGCAGCCTTCTCAATGTTAATATAGGTTCCTACCCAGTTTGAGAGGCTGTCACTTACTCCAGATCTCGACATATGTGTCAGTGAGTGGCTCGCAAGTTTCAACGTCAAAGACGTCAAAGTCTACGACCAATGGAACACCAGGCTCGCTGTCAGTGATGTCCTGTCGAACATATTCCCCAGCAACATCTATGAGATCGTTAATACACTTAAGTTTTCACGGAATATGTGCTCCACTAGGACAAACAACTTCGATAACTTACAGTAAGGGCCCTCAGTTGCTTCAGGACTAAGCAAGCAAGAGGTGCCATTCCCGAAGATGACATCCAGAGGGGTGTCCAAGTCGTATTTGTAAGGCGAGAGATGGGACTTGTTGATGTCTTCTGGGTCGCGGACTGCGAACCGACGACGAAGAGCCATCTCTTGCATGATATTCTTGCGACGCTCGATGGCACGCTTGTCAATACCTCGGGCCTTGAACTTGTCCGCACAATGGGCCAAGTCTGTACGTTCCACCTTGGACATGAAGTCCCGGCGTTGGTGTAGCTCCTTGTGAGGATCATCGCCAGGGTGGGCAGTTCCCAGGCTGACAGCCGAGACCACAACACTCAAGGTTGAGTAGAGACGCATTTTGTTACTCCTGAGTACAGTGTACGAGAAACAGCTAGAGTGGAGGGCTTGCTGAGTAGTTGAAAGCCCTCGCGGAATCGTCGAGCTTTATACTTTTGTCAAGGCCCGGCCCTGTCCTCTTGCTTGTTTGGAGTATCGCTCTTTTTGGACACGCACCATCTTTCGCCGTCTATTAACTTCTACAACGGGGATCCTCGCCATATTCGTGTCGTTGCCTTGATTGGAAGTTGGTATAGACACATGCATTAACCACGGTCAGTGTCGCAAGGGTTGTAGAACAGGTCATGAGAAAAAGTGCCACCCTGATTTCCCCCCAAAGAGGCATGTTTGGAACTTGTCATATGGACAGACTCAAAGTCTTATAGCATGAACCAGTTAAAACTGACCTGTTTCAAAACAATGTTGCATTGGGAGTTATGATATCAAATTAAGGCCTGTCTCTGTGCTTCTCTATCCTCGTTGCTGTGGGCCTTGAAAACAATCCCCGGGATCCTCAGGGTCTTGACAAGGGCTAGACACAAAGAGAAGGGTCAAGAAAAATCATCAATCTAACCTTAAGTATGATTTGGCGATGTTTGAGCTAATGAGCGGTTGCCTTTTCTACTTTGAAAACCCCCAATTGTTGGAGGTGAGGGGTGCATCAAGAGTTGGAGACGAGTAAACGCGTTGGCGACGTGCAAGATTGAGGGCGTACTCATAACACCGCTATTGATACAACTCAAAGTCGTATGGGCGTCCCTGATATCAATTGATGGGTATGAAACAGGTAGGTAGTAGCGAGAAGAGCCTGAATCTGCAGTTTGAGTTCATAATTATGAAGTTGGAGAATGATACCTGACAACCGATTGCGAACTGACCATGCAATTGGGTCCGGCTACCCCAAAAGGTCCAAATCGGGTGATTCGTACGAGAATTGAGGCTGCAGGGCTCTCCAATGTAACTCGTCGTCGTAAGCCTCCCCCACTTCTCTAGGAAAGGTATGTTGTAGTTCACATATGTCTCCAAAATAGTTGCAACCGAAAGCTTCTTTGCAATTGGCTTTTTCAAGATCCTCAAACTTGCGTCCTCTGACCCTGAAGAGACCACCCATATATCTGCCAAGGGTTCAACAAATCAGACATCTACTATTACACCGCTTCACCCCTGTTGCGGTGAATACCGGCCAGTACCACTCAGCAAGCTGGATTTCGGGACGAAATAGGTAGCATTCGGCAATAACAAGAACAAATCTTTCAGTTATGCATCTCCGTAAAGCTTGGTATCTACGCTACCGATCGCTAGAATACCTGTGTTCGACTGTTTGCTGAGATTTTCTCATCGCGTGGTGGCCAGCTGATTAAAAGATATATATGGTTTTCGAGCATCCGGGGAAACATGAACACCTGGTCGGGCGATCTGCTATCTAACTTAAAAAAAGAGCTGAGATCCGCTCATTGAGATGATATGGTTCCCTCTCAAGAAACAGGGGTCACGAGTTTGGACCATGGTTTTCCATATCGCCATAACCTGGGCTCCGATGATAGAGGCCGGGGCTTCTTCAAAAGCCTACCTACTGCCTTTGATGAAACCTAGAATACCTGCATCGAAAGGCGAAACTTGGCAGGAAGCGGAGCCAGCCGGCACTCACTATGAACGCGTCATCACTTAATCTACCTGCCCAAATTGACACACCATATCGCAAAGGCACTTTTTGTCATCACGAAATTTGCATAAAAAAGTTCTGATTGTTTTGGGTTCATTCTAAACTTCATGTCTTGTCTGACATGTGATACGTGGTCAGTATCTGCTTTGAGTGCTCCGCTACATGTCCTCATGGACTTACACATACATTCCCCTTGGTTTTCTCTCACGGCACCTTCTAATATAGGCTGCAATATTGAAATTTTGTCTTGCAGGAGTGTATACTTTAGCTGGCCCTTGTACTTTCTTGGAGTTAACTTCAAGAATATCAGCTTTCGGCCTCCGCGGACAACGACTTTAGTAGGCTAGGCTTGGTAAATTCGCCTCATGTTGTTTTCTATTCCCAAGTTTGATTCTATCATACGATGGTGTAAGCCCACCGGTAATTTCGAGTTGCAGCGTTGACCCTGAATAAATAAGTGATACTGAGAGCACATTATGAGGTCTCTCTTTTGTTGACAGGTTTTCGGTCAGCCTAGAACATTGTCTATACTAATAAAGTGCCGACTAGGAAAAGTCTATTCTTGCTATTACTGAGATTATTTGGTATAATTGATTACACCATGCAGTCTCGTTAGTTTCTAATTATCGTGGGCGGAATCAGCTTCCCCTCGCGGTCCATTCCAACGCCTCCCTCACTGATGATATCATGCTCTGTCCAATCCTCCAATGTCTTAAACCCCTCCATATTTCTGGGCGACACCGAAGCTTTCGCCTGTCTAACCGTATTCAGATGATTCAGAATCGCCATCATTGATGCCGCCTCGATCAGCCCCTCCTGTCTCTGTGTCTGAGAGAGAAGCTCCGTTGCCTTCTCCACGACATATTGATCCGCGCACTTGAATATCAAGAAGAACAGCACAACGATGACACCCGTCTCAGAAGAGAAGGTACGACGCTGGGTCCACGGCGTCTTCGCTCCTGCTTTTGCTCCGTTCTGTTCCAAGTACTGAATTACAAATTCGGCACGCCGTATGATTTCCCGAGCTTCCGGGTTTGGTGACATCTCAAATACTGATTTCGATAGAGAACGCTCCTCCAGGAAGTATGACTTGAGGAGCATGTGGTATGGTCCATGTTGTGTGGAGAGGATGTTCATCCCGCACTCCGTCTCTGCTTTCTCGTCTGGTGTTGCAGTAGGAATTGGGTATTGGCTCTTCTGAAGCCATGCGGTAAAATGCCAATCCAGGAGGTTCCGCTCATCCAAAAGCCCCGGGGAAATTTTCACCGAACGTACAGGCTGGTTCCTGAAATTATCGCTGAGAAAGCGAAAGAACCAGTTCTGAAGCTTGCCCAGCTTTTTCTGCGCCTCATGCAGTGATGCAAATGGTAGCTCTGGGAAGTCAATGAACCCGTTTTTGCGTTCGTCTGGAGTTGTGAGAGTGAGTATCGGTATCCTGCTGTCGTTGAACAAGGTGGCCTGGACGTCAAGGCGAGCGAGCAGGTCGAAGATGGCTTCCCCGTCTTCCTCATTAGTGAGGTCTTTGACTGAACGTAGTAGCATCAACCCCTTATCAAGGTGTAGAATAGCGGCGTTACTGTTCCCCAAGGCGGTCTCGAAGCAGTAAAGCATGATGGATGAGATTAGAGCGATTCTTACCCCTTCGGATGACGGTTGTCCCAACCGCTTTCGTAGCATCTGAAGGCCCTTTCCATATTGTATCAGGGTGTCTTTGGGGGCCAACGTCGAAGTCGGGGCATCGGAGGTGGTGTACTGTAGGTGAAGAGAACTGAGCGCAACCAAGACTTGCCGAATCGCTGGCTCATGGTGGCTCTGGCGGAGCACAGTCTCGCTCCAGAACTTGGTGGACAGGAAACCTGATATCTCTGCCGCCCCTTGGGAACAGTAGTAGTGCAGGAACTGTCGGTCTTTTCGGCTTCCCGGCATGCAGAATGGAATTGAGTACGAGATAATGCTGGATCGCTGTCTCTGGGCCAAAACAGTTAAGGGTTGCGTTTGTGCAGCTGCATCGTAACCGTCACATTGCCACCCAGAGAGCACACATCGCCCGCAGGCCGGTCGCGCCTCATCGCATTTGATGCGACGTTTTCTAAATCAAGAAAGATGTAAGTCTGGCCGATATGTCCACTACTAAGACTACTAAGGAAATACGCGAGGTTCTGCTTACCGACAAGTCGCGCAGCCGGTCTTGACGCGGGTTCGACGCACCTTTGACTTGGCCTGCTGCTGGGAGGTTGATGCCATTTTCGTCTGGGTTTGTTGCCGTCTCAGTCCATATTCTCTTATGATGCGCTTTGCACACGACACGAGATCCCGCACTTCGTATTCATTGCAAAGACCACCCCAGCAGGAGTGCGTTTCGGCTAAATGTGGCTCAGCGCGGTAGCTGACGTGATCCTTTTCAGTCCAAATTGCTTGCAACTGGCGACCATGTTACGGTTCTAACCTGATGAGGCATGCTGGGTTGATTTTTGAGGCTGCCTGAGGATTGGGTGATGAGCGGACGGTTCGGCATCTCGAACTCCTTTGCCCTAAGAGGGTTTTGTGAACTCACTACTCAAACGGGCTGTCCACTCTCACGACTAATGCAACCGAGCTTCAGGAATGTAACTCTTTCAGAATAGTGGTCATTGCTCATGTATATATGATGCTGTTAACAGCCTTGAAGTGCACTTCATTCATCAAAACCCCCCTAATAGAACTATCATAACAAAAGGAGAAACCGAACCTAATATGGGAAAGCCATGTCGATAAATGTTCAAAGAAGTCTCCCTTGCGGTAGCTAAAGAAAATTCCAAGGCCTCTGACCTATCACACAACATTGAGATGAAAGTCAACCCCATTGCCTTTTGCCTCGACGACTCTTGAAACAACCAAAGTGGCAGCATCCGGCATCGCGATGCGGCTCCGTGTTCTCGCCAAATTGAGTTGAGGCCGTCAGTGGCCTGCCCCTTTCACCACGCTCCTCTACTCATTCTTCAGCCTCACGGACCGAAAGGGCAGTTTGACCTCGCCCTTTACATCGTCGATGTACTGTTCTGGAAGCTCTTCTTGAAGCGCCAGTTCCTGATGAAGTTCATACATCCAATCCTCCAGCTCGCCCATCTCCCAAGTCGTCACACCCGAGGGCTCATCGTGGCAACACATCCTCACATACTCGCTGTCCTCAACCTCCACAGCCCAGCGAGGCTGTACAGCCGCCTCCTCCAACGCTTCCCCAGGGGCGGATGCGCGAACCTCCGGTAGGGGGCCCCAAACGACGTGCACGGCGGTGAGATTCGGCGCGAGGTCCATGGCTGAGACGAGTCCCACTAGGCTGTAGTACGCGGTGAAGGCGGGCAGCGCCAGGTTTCTCACCCTCGCGTACATGCGGTCGTAGATCGACCCCTCCTCGGGCACTTCTCCGACCATGCCGGCCGAGAATAAGCGCCACTTAGGCCGCGGGACATAGAGCAAATCCGTTACCTCATTCCAGGCGCGTACGGCGATGTGGCCCTGCGTCTCTCTGCGGAAATGTAGCCATCCGTTGACGGAGGCGATCCACCGCTCTGCAACCCTACGCGCTTCGCGACAGACGAAGAAGGCCGTCGGCATGGGGAGCTGCACCATCAGCGGCTGGGCTGATTCCGCTGGCTGCGTTGTGTAGTTGATGAAGTGATCGCCGAATGGATACATGACTGGCCCATCATCCGATGGCATCGTCTCGTTCCAAATCACATACCTCAATTCTAGCGGAAGCCTGGGGAAGCAGGTAAAAACGGGCGCGTCCATGATGGCAGCAGGCGACGTTGGCTGCAAGTTAATGGGTGCTTTTGAGGAGAGTGGGAAAAATTGTGAGCGCGTCAAGATTAATATTGCCTCTGTCGCGTTTGTTTCGCTTTTCCCTACAGTAGGAGCATTAATCAGGGGTCAATGCCCCGCAGGAACGACATGAAACTAACTGGATTGGCTAATCCGCCCGTCGTTTCCTCAGAAGCACTCTGGTATTGGGGGATTAGATGGATAGGTAGTCAAGGTTTCCAATTGAAAATCACTCAAGTAAACGTTGAACTATTGATGACAGAGCTTCTGTTCTAATTGCTCTCCCTCCCTAGAATTTGTGAGTCATTGATGGCCAAGACAGAATGATAACAGCTTCAATCAGAGGCCGAGTTTCCCCTAAGGCTTGTTTCATCCGTGGTTTCTCCCGCGCCAAGTTGCATCAAAGGCCGATCTTCACCGTTAGCTAAAAGCATAATTGTCGTTTTCTTGGCCGCCGTTTCCAGTTCCTCGAGCGTTTCAGCACCCTTCAACACATCCGCTACCAATGCCCCTTGCGACATGACGGCCAGTTGACTGGACTTCCATACTGGAATGCCACGGCTACCGGGCTGCCGGTCAATACTAACACTAATGGCGAAGAAAACCATGGCTGCGACGTGGATGAAAAGCTGGTATGATATCCAAGGCCAGTTTATCTTGTAAACGGTGATGGGATTGGCAACTTTCCCAACGAAACGACTGTTCAAATCATCCCCGGATCGCAAGGAATTGCTCATGCTGGCCGCAATACTATCGAACCTAGCCGTAAGGTTTTCGGAAGACCACATAGCCGGTGCTAGGTCGGGTTGGTAGACCATCACGTCCCAAGCCCGCTGGTAGCTATAATATCCAGTTGGGGGTTTCCAATCATCCACTGCCGCAGGGCAGCCTTTCTTGTCCAAGCAAGACGAGAATAAGTCTTGGACAAGTGAACTAATGGTGTTCACTCCAGACTGAGAAATATTAAAGCCCTCGGACTTGTCAAAATCCCTGGATAGTTGAAGATCTGATCTTCGAAAAGCCGACTGATTCGGGTGAAAAGCAAGATTTCTCGAGGCATTGGCTATAATGTCACTTTCCATATTTCCTAAAAGAAGCTTCCATGAGTCAGGATGCCTTCGATATTCCTTCCGCTCCTTTTCCAGCTCCAGCTCAATGGAACTATTAACCACTCGGAAAGAATAATCTTTGACACAATAATAAAGAGCACACTCCACGGCATAGACTGACATATTAGGCCACTGCCAAATATTGGTCGAGTTGTCTACTTTGATAACACTCTGCGACCAGATCAGAGTGTCGATTTCTCTAGAATTGATCGATTTATTTGGATTGGAGGTGCCGTAGAGGGATAAGACATCACGAGTCGGTTCCCAGCGTGTGTGAGAGTAAGGGTAATCTGAAGACACATCTTCGTTTTCCAGATAAAGTCCATTTGGAAGACTATACTTTGTAGCAGAATATTCCATTTGGTCGCCGCTCGAAAGACTGTCAATCTTCATGTACTGTTTCGCTACTAGCATTGAGCTAATGTCATAGCATCTGCTGCAAATCGCCAGGGATCGGAAATTTTGAAATAAACAACCAGTTCCGGGGCATTCAAAAGTCGCTTGCCGAATAACGTCTCTTATATCGGCGGAGAGCGTGAACATAAGTGAGGCCCTCATACTGATATCAGGTTTGCAGAGGACGGTGGCAGACGTCACATTCACAGAGCCGTTCGGATTATAATGGAACGAATAATGAGGGCTACTTATTCCCTTTGAATAAGAAAGTCCTTGAGCGATACTTCCGCCCTCTTCCAGAAAGTCGATTTGACGCACTCGCACGAGTTGCTGGGCGAAGGGGCCCGTGGCAATGGAGAGTAGAGTAAGAACTGCGCCGAATCGAACAAGGGGACTATATGACTCATTGTTGTCAGCTCTGTAGATTTGTAGCCGCAAAGATTTATATGCACATACGTACCCTCCTTTGAACCTGCTATTTAACAGAAGCTGAACACTCCCCAAAGGACCACGACTGGCTTCAGATATCATTTCGAAGTCGTAAAGCCGACGAGGCTTGGTTGCAAAAGCTGCCCAGTTTGCTTGACTTATACAACTTGAAACGCCAGTGAGAAGCGATGCTCTTGATCCTGTAGATAGAATAGATGTGATTGTGTTCAAAGTCACAAATGAGCCGTCGAATGTCTGCTTGCCATCAAAGTGCACCATCAGCGCGAACATGATTGCGAACTGGGCCAAGGAAGCGGCCAAGGACCAGAACTCCAAGGCCCATACATGTAAAATGGTTTGCGCTGCCATGGTGTTCTCAAGATAGGGACACAAGACGAAAGGAAGCAGAGTCGAGCTACTCGGGAGTCAATGGCTTTGCGCTGCCCCACAAAGGGAGGGAGAGGTGGATTTTTTCCTCCCTTAAAGGGGGGAAATAAAGGGAGGAAAACAATCGTTGACCTACGGGTAGTGATGGACGGGACATATATAACTGCTGGTTCTAGATAATGTAAAAAATACGTGTAACCTCTGGAATAAAGAAATGATTCCAAGCAAGCATAGCGAAATTGTTGGAGAAAGAGGGAAAGATTATGCTAGTCTTTCGATACGAGGGAAATACTGCCCTTCCCGCGTATGGACGCCGTCATCGTCATACAGCGCACATAAGATTACACCACAAAATGGTAGTATCTTACTTGAACCGGCCCTGCCTACAGAAATCTACGTCCGGCCAAGTCTGTGCGACATATGAAAACAATGAATTACGTGGAGCTTCGCGACTGGCAACGCTCGTCATTGGCTTTTGGTTTCCAATAGCTGTGTACGGAGTATGTGTAAGGGCTTAGCTAAACGCGAGGTGAGAGGCGGCTTGAGAGAAAGCGGTCAGTCTTGTAATAGATTAGTTACAATGCAATGCACATAGGCGCTCATGCAAACGCACTGGCGGAAGGTGGCTACATCTAAAAGGAACTTTTTTATGCCACTCCGTGGCACCAGAATAATCAGAGGCGCGGCCACTTGAGAAATTTGGGGGTTTCGTCAGACTTGGGCAACGTGGATGTCGCTTTCTGTCTCTTCATCGTACTCTCGAGCGTCGCTCATCCGAGTGCCATTTGAAGCGCAAATATCGCTTCGGATGCTTCTGATCCAGCAATTTCGATTTGGTGTACGAAGTTCCGGCCCTTACTAAGAGTGAGTTTAACGGGGAATATATCATCACAAACCGCAGTCTTTCGTGTACGGAGCGGTTATCCTTCTTATTCTATCATACTCAAGATCACTCCTGGTTCTTGGCCGTATGGCGATTATCTATCTAGTCAAGGGTGTGTTGATTGTGCCCCATCATTGTAACCTTCGTAATGAAAGTCTACGTGTGCCAAAATCATGACATTTAGTCCTGATCTACGACTAATTCTTAATCATAGGTCGATCATTCTAAATTTCATATGCTTAGAGACTAATGACAATATCAATGTGCGGATCAAGAGATTCCGTTTCTTAGCTCCACCCGTCGTTGCGGATGATCTCATTCCGTCTTGATGACAAGACAACGACGGCAATCCGCCTTCCGTCATTGTATCATGTCCGATGTCCGTTCTATAAGACGGGCCATGTCCTCTGTCCGTTTCCAGAAAATACTTACAATCAATTAATCTCACTGCGACCCATGGTCTAACTTGATCACTCTCTGCACATTGATCCAAGAAAACACCATCACGATGCATCTGTCTACTCACACTTGGATGCGCCCGGAGCCACTCGAAGTCACATTGAAACGTGCACAAAGTCTGGGATACAAAAGCATCGAGCTAGCCGGAGAGCCAACACAATATCCTGTTCAGGAGACCCGTGGGCTCTTAGAAAAGTACGGCATAAAGCTCTGGGGCACTGTCACGATCCAGCAGGGAAAACGTGATCTCTTGGCCGTGGATCCACAAGAAAGGCGTGATACCATCCAATACGTCAAGGATGTGGTTGCATTATCCGCTGAACTAGGAGGAAAGATCACGACAGTCGTCCCCGGGAGGGTTGGCAAGATCGCACCAACCTCACCAGCAGAGATCGAGTGGAAATGGGCTGTGGAGGGCCTCCGAGAGATTGCCGAGTTTGCACAGGGCAAAGGAGTCAAAATTGGACTGGAGCCATTGAACCGCTTTGAGACCTACTTCCTCAACCGGACTGATCAGGCCCTTGCCCTTGCTGAGGAGGTGGGCTTTGACTGCGGTATTGCCTTCGATCCTTTCCACCTTGCTCTCGAGGAGGTAGACCTGATCGCCGCCATTAAAGCATGCGGCCCCCGCATCGTCGACTTCCACGTCGCAGATCACAACAGACTGGCTGCTGGCGACGGCAGCTTCAACTGGCCACAGATCATGGGGGCGTTGGTTGAAACTGGGTACGATGGTGCACTGGCAATGGAGTCCGTGCCTCCCATAGATCGCACACCTCTCGGAAAGTATGGAAAAGTCCAATCTGAGTCAGACACTGTCGATGTCCATCCAGATCATATGCAGTTCATCATTGATCATGGCTCGGCCTTGCTGTCAGACGTCTATTATACGGGGCTACTTCGACGAACTGCCGAAACGCTATCGCCATTCTGTTCGTAAGTTGAGGTATTTTGAATCGGAATTGAAATATATACGATTGTACTTGCTAAATATAATAAATCATAACCATTTTAATTTGCCCAAGCTCGGGCGTACCCTCCTGTCAATGAATGAAAAGCAGACTACATGGCAGAGATAGTCGGACATTTGGTAACTTTTCTTCCACCAAAATACAGACGTATATATCATCCAAAAGAGAAATCTTTGTATGGTAATACGCTCAGATATGAATAAGCGAAATTAAGAGCATTCTCTTGACGAGTTAGAATTACGTAGGAAGAGCTACGTCAATTTTCGAGATCTGGGCTATTCCATGTAATATGTGAAGTCATGCCGAGGAGGAATATATGTTGCCCCTGGCCGATGCCGCTTGGCTATCTCTATCGGAGTGGCCGAATATATGTCATCTTCATCTTTCAACAGAGACCCTTGCTTTTTATCGAAACGAAGTGACGGACGTATGAGGCCTAGACCCGTCACTTCAGGGTGGTGAGATGTGGGAAGCCGCAGCCTTGGGAGTATTTTGACAGGCTCGTCAAGATGTGTCCGCACGGGTGAAAAAGAAATAGGTGGACCGCCGTCATATTTGTGTGTTTCCTTTATTCCGGATGTCTTATCCTTTCCATCGGAAGATGTTTCTTTGCCCAGTTCCGCCGTAGAGGTACTGTGCGGATGCTCCGTACTTGGCACTTGAGCTTCTGATGCATCAATCCCAGCGAACTTTCTAGTGTTGTCACCTATATATTCCAAGTGGTGATAAGATGGAATCTCAGGTTGTTCGTTCGAGGATAAAAAGTTACTTGGACATTCACGCCAAGAACAAACAGTTTCCAACGAGTGACCGGCTGTTGGGTGTGGGCTCTGCGCCTTCTCTTGAGTTTGAGGATAATCTGTGTTCCTGCTGACTGGTGGGCGACAAGGTCGAATCCACCTCTTCAGCTTGGTTCCCGTGGAATCTATCGCCGCTGTTCCTTCGTTCCGAGGATTATAGGTAGACTCGTAACCGGAATCTTCGTGACCCTGCGCCACCTCCTTGATCTTCTTCCGCAAAGTGAACATGGCCACTCTAATGTCATTGACCATAATTGGATCGTTGCTAAGGGACTTGAAACTTGGGAAGAGCTCAGTCAGCGCCTGGTTATGGTACTGCAGATTATTTAAATCTTCATTCCCGTTTATCGAGGCGAGATGGATAGCTAGCTGAGAGGTAATGTTCTGAAGTGCTTGAGCCCGTCTGTCGCCGTTCCAGAGCTCCGCACGATGATGTTCCAGCCTATAAGGAAAGTGTAGTGGGTGTTCCTCTCCTGAATTATTTCTGTTGCTGTCTATACCAAATGGCTCTTTTGCGCCGTGTTCGTAATTGTCTGGAGGTGAATGCGTAATTTGCGGATCACTATGGGTGGCCGGAGCTCTTTCAGAGGCAGGATCAAGCGCCATGGACCCATCATCAAGATCCTCGTCGGATTCAATTATGATATCCAACTTTTCATAACTGGCTCCGCACTTGGTTACATGTGGTGTGTTTGTAGTTTGATCCGGTGGTGGTGTATCTGCTAATTCAGCGGGCAGTGATATGTCTCTTGATTCATGGTCAGACGTGTCCACCGGTTCGAGGTGGGATGATGCGTCTAATTGTCGTCCTCTGGTTCCATGAGATCCTGAATGAGAATTTGAGAACTCATCGGCTGATGTAGAATCAGCTATCTCGTACACATGATTCAGAATTCTCTGACCAGCATGAGCGGGAGCAATCCCACAAGCTTGTTCAACAATATCTGGAAACAAGGCCATCTCATCATGCCCTTGCCGTTGGGTTCTGAACTTTTTAAGGCCTATTCCTTTATGAGAGAGCAGCCTAAATCTACTTGAGGGTTTGGTGGCAGATGGGCTATCAATCAATGTGTCCAGGCGGGAGCTCTTTGACTTGAAGATACGACTGAGATGCCTCCGGATCGGCGACTTCTCTTTAGGGCTTTGGGGTTGTGATGTAGCCGTGCCTGTGGGCGAAAGTTCGTCATCCGCCTCGTACGGCGAACGGAGAGTGTCGACGACCGCCTCTTTTGCAGTATCACGATTAAGTATTTCGTATCGACTAAGTTTCATTCTCAGGATATTGCCGTCAGATATCTTCGCGGGTACTCCTTCTTGAGTACCATCAGTCGGAGTAGCTGCTAACTCAGCCGTACTGGTATGAAGAGCTCCAGTTAGTGCCTGGATATCGTCTGAGCCGATGATGCTGATAAGTAGGTTCTCGTGGCCTTGGAAGAAAATGACAACACTCTCCGGGTGTTTGTATATAGAACTTGCCAACAGCTCTCTGAGGATCTTTGCACGTACATAATCCTCAAAAACTTCGTATATAGTCGCGTATAACCCTAATGTTTCCTCGTACTCTTTGCTGTCAGCCTGCCCGGCCAGGTATAGTCTCCTCTTCCCGTAGACTGCTTTTTTGCAGTATCCAAGGGCTCGCTCGAAGGAATACTCAGCTAAGTGGCAAAGTGCTAGAGCATGGAAGAAGTTGTAGATGACCAAATCATGACTTGGGTCTGACATTTTCTCATTTGACTTAGAGAGAAGATTGATCATTGGTTCCGCGAGTCGCCACTCCCCCTGGAAAGAGTAGCAAAGGACTAGTTGGCTGAAAGTCTCGAAATATTCAAAATTTCTTGTCTTAGCCTCGAACCCGTCGCAGACGACCTCTTTGATAAGGCGAATTGCTTCGTCAAAGTCTAGCGCTTTAATGCTTTCAATAGCCAGCTTTCTCATTCCAGCTAAGACTACATCTTCAAAGTAGTTGTCATCACCGTCCTCTTTCTGAATATCGAAAGTATTGGAATCAGGATGATGAAGCCCGTGTTTGATTTCGGCGCTGGTATCATTATCCGCTATTTCTACTACGATTGGGCCCTCGTCCATGAAATGAGATTTGGAAGATCTTTTATCAGCAGTTCTGGGCCCAGAAGGGTAGCTTGAAACCGAAGAAGGATGTCCAGAACGAAGATTGTAGAGATAATCTTCTATGCGCTGGTACCGCGAGTAAGGGAGATCTCCCGCACCACTTGCCTCACTGCCCATAATTGAGTTTAGTACGCTTTTGCCGTCGTCACTTTTTAATGTCCCTGCTGTCGAGCTCGCTGTGACGTAGAAACTCTCTGCAGCTGCAGCCAAATTTCGTAAGTCTCGTGTAATGTTATGATGCGGTCTATCCTTAGACATCGAGTCCCGCAGATCTCTGGTTGGTTGTGATGAAACGTTCCATGCGTTATTTATCGATTGTTTTAAGTTATTGAGTTCGGTAAGAATCTGAGCTTGGGATGCATTTTGTCGCAGTGAAAGAGACCTAGGGGGTCGTCAGAAGCCGTGAACCACAACGTAAAGAAGTACTCAACTTACACAACGATTAAATGAAGCACGGTTTGAAGAGCTGAATTAGATTGGTGGACTTTGTCGCGGAAATCTGCCAGGGCCTGCTCATGAACCTTCAACTGAAAGATTGCCTGGGCTTTCCATCCTATCGTCCCTGGCTTCGATGCTTGCTTGATCTTCTCCACCAGTTGGTTTAGGTCGCTGACAGTAGCTTCGCAATTCCCGAGGGCGATCTCGCTTGGATGCCATATAGCATCGTCGATCAGGCTGAGGTCAATATCCTTGCAACCTCTGAGCGTATCTTCAATCGTCTTGAGATTGCGTTGGAGATCCGAAAGTTCATCGTAAAGACCCGTCAAGCGTGAATCAATAGTTCGGTAGGAGTTTATAAAAGTTCCCACCCCGATTGTCACCTTAAATCAATACTTGTCAGTATTCATATCGGTATTGAAGAAGGAATTATCCAAATTTCAGGGTGCTAGCGTACGACGCCCACGGCTCGGATCACTGTCAAAGTCGAGGCAGTGATGGAAAGCGGATTCATCTTGACGAAGTAGTTCTCTCGAGAAAGCCTCAGCCAGTTCGCAACTCGTCCGCAGCGCAAAAAAGATGACCTTGGGAAGTTATCTTTTGGAAACAGAGTACCTAAGTGACAGGCTATTCTCCGCCTCCTAGGCAACGGGATGTAAAAGAAAAGGTCAAGTATGGGGACGGACAATCTTATGAGCCACAACAGTACCTGCATAAGAGTCGAGGCGCAGTCCTAGGCATATTTGCTAGCGGCGGCAATCTGGAATTATCCTTGTAGATATCCGCGAATCACGGTCCGCAGATGTATGGATGAAGCCGGTGGGTGCGGTAAGGCGACGAGGTGCCTGGCGAACCGGTTCGCTCAAAATTAGCTCGCATCCAATTACATGCATAAATCTGGCGCAAGAAGCTTGCACATGCGTGTTGACTGATTGGAGAGGGTATCATTTCACTCATTTCTATCTCAAAATGAAACCTACCACGCGTGACGAATAAGTCACCCAACAGGTGTTCAGAACATTTAACCGCATGAAGAGTGAACGCCACAATAACACATTTGTGTAGAGGAGAATGCGTCACAGCCGGGACCTTTTTCCCTTGGCATTCAATATCTGGCTAGGCGAGTTTCACATCCGCAGCTCACCGACTGATTGATGACGGCATCACCGGCACAAGGCTCCTAGCTGAGACTCGCTGGCCCGTTTCTAACAATCTCTCCTCTAATTATATGCCTTCCCCCCTTTCATTCCGTGAGGAGAAAGGGTAAAGATTTAGTTAGTCTAGGTGCTCCGGAAGATCTACTTTTTTTGGGTTCCCTTCTAGGTCCTCAATAAACATCGCTAGAATATTCGCAAGTTTATCTCCACTTCTACCTATCAGAGACGTAATGATTCTAAATGCAAGGTGCCAGTAGGTACTAGTTGGGTTGGCAAACATGCCGGTTGGAGGATAGTGTGATCCTAAATCTACCGTAATGATGTTGTGGCGTCTAATATTAAGTCAGCCTGCAGCTCGTGATATTGTGGAAGTGCAGAAGATCTTCCTACATTTGTCTCGGAGCTGCTGGCCAAGCATATCAGCAATGAGGCGTAGTTGTCTTACTCATCCCTTCCCAATGCAATGCAGGGTGAGTATCAAGTTTTTCTTTTCTTTTCTATGACCGTAAATTGCTCTAGCTTCCCCGAGTAACAACGCTGCATTGCCACCATAGCGAGCATGGAAGCACTCGCAGCGTTTGGTCTCACTGCCAATGTGCTCCAGTTTCTTGACTGGATCGCAAGCCACCAGGGACCTGACGGAAAAGAAAACATTATCCCTCGATATCAAGGGATGTGCTAGTGCCCTTGCAACAAGCGCAAGGCCTAACACAGGCGGATAATTCGATAAAGAAATCCTCAAATGCTAATTCGGGACTCAATCTACTATCTTCAAGCTTTATTGAGATTGTAGGCGAGGTTCTAGGCCCGTCCGTCTTGTTGGTATTCCTACTTCTTCTCCCCCTTTTAATTTTCCTTTAATGTTTAGTATTTTTTTAAACATGGCTTTATATTTTATCAATACAATTATATCAGTACTGTAGGCAGTCACACTAACTCATCACGCCTGCGATGTGTGATCACTACTATAAGACCTCGCACTTTTGACCTCATGCACCTCTATCATCACATCCTTGCGCACCCGGATCCCGTTCTCCTCGTTCATATTCAACCACTCGGTATCGGGGTCCGGCCTCGTGATAGTCGTGTGCACGCGGTCGGGAGACTTTATGCTCGTCGGATCCCCCAGGATGCCCTTTTCTTCGTCTGTGAGTCCCACCTGCGAGCTCCCCAGATCGACGCCCTTCTTGCGCTTCTTGGTCACGGCGCTCAGCTCGATGCCGTTCGTCCGCGGAAAGGTCTGGTTGGCATTGCTCGCCCCGTTCGCAGTGTAGTTATTGTAGTCGTAGGAGTTGAGTGCCCGGGAACCGAACAGGAAGCGGAAAATCGGTCGGAGGAGCGGGAAGCATGCTAAGGTACCTGGTGTTAGCAAAAGGCGGCTATTGGATTATTTCCACCGTCACTGGACATACAAGAGACGACGGCAATATTGACCTCCACGCCACCCCATGTATAGGTAATCGCATAGTCGTATGGCATCTGGGTGGTATATGGATCCGCGCTGATGGACAGGATCAAACCATTAACAGAAGCGACACACACACTGTTCCTCGCGGGTTAGTATCCAATTTCTTTATCAGCAGAATAAAACCAGGCACCTACACAACACCGACCAGAAACAGAGCGATGATGGCAATCTTCTGCCCCATGCGCAGCCTAAGCCTGGACACCTCCACCACCGGCAACGCGAGAATTATAACATCGAGGAGAAAATGAGGAAGCATGGTTCCAAAGAAGAAGGCCGCGTCCTTGATGTTGCAGTGGCCGCCAGGGATGGAGTGGTCCCAATATGCCGCTACCGGGGTGCAGCGGAGGAAGATCATGAAGGTTCGAATAACGAGCCAGACGGCGACTATCGTGTACAGTGTGATGATCGGTATTCGAATTGAGGAGAATTTGAAGAGTCGCCAGTACAGCGAGAGGATGGCCAGCTTCGAAGACCCGATCGAGTAGGCGTATGTCAGGGAGCCAAAGAAGGCAATCTTCCTAGAGTGTAAGAGTATTTCCTCGCGTCTTGTCTCATCAACCGTGGCGGGGATAATTTGACCAAGGTACCAAGTCGTACACCCTATTATATCACCTAGTTAGCTCTACATCATTAAGAAAGTGTCATCAGGGGCAAGGCATAATAGATGATTACAGTAGAAACAAAGAGCGTTATAGGCACTCGCAAAGATCTAGCAATCGATGTGAGCAGGCAAGACTCATTCAATCATGGGTGTGTGCATACAAAGGCGGATAGACAGTAGTAGTCTTCATACCACCACCGCACCTTGGTCATGCGGCGAGCGACGACACGGCCGATCAGAGCGAGGGTGGCTAACCCCCAGCAGACACCAATGCCAGCGAATACGTTGGCCTGGAGCCCTGTCATGGTGAGAGATCTGCGTGGCCGGTGGAGTCATTAAGGCGTTGAATTAGATAGATAAGATGTGAAACATCAAAGGTCAACAGTAAAATACACGCATGATGATCTCTAGTGGTACGACATGTAATGTTCAGAAAGATAGGATGAGTGGCCGTGCGTTCCGAGAGGGGAGGATCGCCCTCGGATTATGAACCTTCCCCAACTCGCATCTCGCGGGTAAATAAATCAACCGATCCTAAGATTGTGATTCCTTGATTGGGATTCTGGCTTGGCAATGACCATCTTAACCCCCATGAAGAGAATCCGGGGGAGGGGGAGGGGGAGGGTTATCGCCCCCGGACTAATGAGCGTTGGGTAGCCAATGAGATATCAGCCTGCTTCATGCTTGGCTGACTCGAGGCATCCCAAAAGGACAAGGTCGCTTGCGGATGAGGCGGAAAAGGGGGGCTTTCTTGGTCCCTGAATGGATGGGGGAATGAGGAAGCTTCCGCTAGGGAAAATGTGTGTCACGAGAAGCACTGCGACTGACATCATGCAGCCGGCTATTACATCCATCGTGCACCTTAGACGCCACCCCACGTGTCGCAGATCATATAAAGAAGAAGCACAGTACATCTATGTTCGAAATGTGGCGTGATTTGGCCATGAGGAAAAACTGTGACGCCTCTGAAGAACGGCGCACACATGCCACCAGCTACAAATTCCCGATTTCACGGCCGAGAGGTCTACCGCTTTCGTAAACCTGGATAAATGTGCTTAGCGTCAATATCGCCTCGACCTTCCTCCTCACCAGTTCCCCTCGAATATGGACGATCGCCCCCAGCTAGTACTAGCCGATAGTCGCTAGCGTCAATAGAAAGGGACCGCGAAGCCAAAAGATCATAATAAAAGAGGCAAATTAAGATTATTTTCCGATTATGGACCTGCCATGTAGTGTTGTCTTTAATTCATGATCTCCTATGTTTACACATTAAGTAGTAAGGCTCTCTTGCTGCTTCGAACAAATTTGATAGTCCTGTTGTTAGTTGGTGCCATCTGGGACACTTCAAAATGGTTGACTATTGGATGGTGTATTCCTTTTACTGCTGGATAAAACCTACATCATCCCTAGCGGCACCAGTCTTTCCTTATCTCGAGCTCTCTTGAACCCTGGATTGACTAAACATTTATTCTCCGTGAAGAGCTCACTAAGATTAGATAGTATTAGGGACCTCGCATTATTTCGACCCACAGGACCAAATTATCATTCTTGGTCGAGACCACGGGATTATACCTTTCGAGAACGCTTAACTCGAGATCCTAGGGAAAGGTCGAGGAGCCATCCTACTCTCATCAGGATCTCCCCCCATCAATAAGTTGAGACCAAATTCCTGTCCAATTTATTTCATCGGCTCCGAGCCTCCCTTTCCATTAGCACGGCGGAGAGCACAGTTCCATCTCCAAGTCTTTCGGTCCCGTCAACAACCGTTATTGACTCATCACAGGAGCTTGCCACCATTGGAGTGACCAGTAGCTTTGGGGTTGGAGCTGGTTCTAGGCCAGGGGAATGGTTTGAAATTATTATAAAATGAGATTGAGAAAATATTCGATCATATTCTCGTTATGTGTTCGTTATATTGGGCTTTTGGCTCTCTCGTCCTCTATCCTAAAAGGCAAGCGACTGATACGCCCAGAACCTCCAGCGATGAACTTCAAAATAGTATTAAAACAATCAACAGAGTAATAAGCATAACACTAATATAAAATTTAGAGAACATTTTTCCTGAGGGAATAGAATAGGAGGAGGAAGGCGAGACCTAGGGCGGCATTGATACCCGTGTTAGGTAAGCGTTTCAAGGTATTAATGATAACCAGTCGAGTACCACGTCCCCAGGCCCATGGCCTCTCCCGGAAACTGGTATAAAATAGAAAACAGATGCGACTAAAATTTTGACATGAAGTTTCGGTCTCGACCACTGATTGATCGTTAGGATGTCCTAATCGCACAAT